ATTTATTTCATAACTATTATTGATCGTGAATATTACCTTTTTACTTCGTCGTCTCTGTAACTGTGGCTGTCACTAATAATATAGAAAGAGAACCAGAGAAAGGTAAAATAATGTTGTTGTTTTTTTCAACAGCATAGCAGACTAATACCATAAAGCCTTCTAAAGTTACTATCGCTTTACTACGTGTTGTTTTCAAGGACAAACATGTTAATTAATAAAAACACTAATTAGCTTAAAACACGGTGAGGATATAAACACGACGAAAACAACTTTATAGGAGAGTTTCGTTGCATCAAATTACTTTGTTTCTTTTCAGTTGCAAGATAATGATGATACTGATAATAATAACAAAAGCAACGGCAGTATGGATAATCAGTTTTGTTAATAAAATACCTGGAATTTGCAATATGAATAGTGTTTCTTTTTTAATTAACATTTCAATATCAAACAATCATATATGCTTGAATAATATCAATATTTTTATTTTTTCATTGTAAGCCTTTTTGTGTACATGGTTCCTTTCCTTCATTTGTTCGGTGTAATGGATATAATAATTTTCTGACCGTGTTTACTCGTACATAACATGATGGATGTTTTGGTCCTAGATTGCATCGTTTGTTTTCTTTTCCAGGAGAAATTATACTAAAAATATACAAAAATGCCCCATTAATTCTTCCCGACTATGTACACAAATATCTGTTTTGTTTTATGGCATCTCTCGTTTTACTTTCTGGAGTGAATATGCAAGTACATTGTCATAAATATAGAAAAAACAACAACTATAAATGATATAAACGGTCGTCATTTAGAGAAGTAAGATTCATAACCGTCAAAGAAACGTTAAAGGAACCGAATTCAAATTTCCCGAATGGAAAAGGCAGTAACTTTATATTAATGTAATAACTGTTACAGGGACCTCAGTCTCCCTCCTTTAATTGCAGATATAGTTGAGACCATTGTCATTGTTGCATTGCACTCTTACAATGCGTTGGTCGAGGTTGCAAGGATTAGGAAAGAAGTTTTTCTATTTGTAAATGCACATCTGTCAATATGAGTATGAATGTTAACCTAAAAACCACTGGCTTTTTGGTCATCGATGAAATAAGTATACCATACTTGGAGTAACAGTACATCTTTATGGTATTTCCTTGTATATGTGTATATGTATATATATGTATGTGTGAGTGTACGGTGAGTGTGGCCTACACTATATTTGTCAGTGTTGGGTAAGTGAGGAAATTATTGCCCTCTACCGACACAGATCAAAACCCTTGGCAGGTAATCAGTGGCCGATTTGGAGCACGTCGGCACGCGCTTAACCTTAGCATAGCTGGGTTCTGCGGGTGCGGCCAACTGGACAAGTTAGCTAGCTGTCCGCTGCAACTGAGATGTGGCGAAGCGTCTATTTATCTAGCCACAGAAACCTTCAGATGAAAATATAGCCCCTAGTCCCGTGCAGCCCTTAAGTGGGCAAGTGGTGCTAAGAATCTCACGGTCTGTAAATGGATTTATTAGTGCGAAAACGGTAATAAAGATTGGAAATTGGAATGTAAGAACACTGAGACAGGAAGGAATAAATGAGGAATTGGGCTCAATTTTCAATGATACAATTTAGACGTATGTGCTGTGACAGAGACGAGACTACTTGGAATAGCCAGAATGAATTTGGAGGAGTATGTTGATATGTTGATACCTGGTAGAAGGGATGGCTTGCACTACCAGGGGGTTGGCTTGGTGGTTAGTCAGAATGCAAATAAAGCTTCAAGTGAGTGGGAACCTACTGATGAGCACCTGCTTTATGCAAGGTTTAAGTCAAAGCACGGCAACATCAGTAAGCTGGTTTGTTACGCACCTACAAACAATGTACCCCATGCCATGAAAGATGATTTTTATGAGAAGCATTAGGAAGAGTCGCCAGGTATGATATTCTGCTGTGCATTGGTGACTTCAGCGCAGTTTTTGGAAAGGTCTAATGAAGGGTTTGAGGAATGTATGGGTCTGGAAGTAGGATGAATGAAAATGGGATTAGATTTGGGATTGTTTGGCAAATGATTTGGTCATCAGAGGCATACTTTTTCAACACCGCGACATTCATAACACTACGTGGATTTCGCCGTGCGGCAAGTACAAAAATCAAATTGATCATATTGCCAACACTACGAGGCATCGGAGTTCTTTGTGTAAAACGAGGAGGTGATGTTGGCAGTGATCATCAACTTGTGGTATCAAAATTAAGATTTAAACTCGTGTCAAAAGAAAGGGAAGGCTAAGGTGTGTAGGTACGATATTGATCTGCTTAGAAGGGATGGAGAGGAAATGTAGGATTTTAAATGGGTGTAGGAATAGGGTTGTGGCTTTGGAAGCTTTGGAGGAGAGGAATGCTGGTGATATATGGGGTGATGGGAAGAAGGTTTTGAAAGAATCTGCAGGTTGTACGATCAGAAGAAGGTGCACAGTTAGGATTAAGAAGTGAATGTCGGAAGAAACGTGGGATATGATT